CAGCACAGCACTCAGACTTCAGGAAACACATGTTATTAGGTTTTGAATAACGAAAAAATTTCAAAAACCTACTAGTGTACAGATTCATTGAACTTGAACCAAGTTTCTTCTGAAAAGGCTGTAAGTAATAATTTATAGCTTCATATGCTAAAAAAGGAAGATGACTGTCTCCATTTACATCCCTATAAGTTTCAACTAGGGGCAGTGTCATTTCAAACTCAGCTTCAAGTTCTGGCTCTCTCCCAAAATTGCAGTTTCGGTCATAGCTCTCGAGTCTGAAAAACATTTGAAATAAACAACTGTAAAAGAAAAAACCTAATTGAAAAAAATCACTGTAAAATATATGGACTATTAAATTATTTTTGGAGTACACAAATGTCTTAGTTTCCATTTTGTCAAAAAGTACAATTATTTTAAGAACAGATCCCTGTAACTCCAAAGTCAACAAATCAGTATTTCTGTCAATAAGGAAGCTTAAGCCATCTCTGCATTGTTATCAGTACTAAAACTTGACTTTTGTACAGTAATAATATCTTTACTTGCACTACAGTAATTGTATATAATTTTTTTTGTTAGAAAACAAACAACATATAATAATACGGATATTAATTTTAACACAAGAATAAGACATTGTGTCACAAAATAAAAATACATGCAGTGAATAAGGATTCTTGATGTGTTTGCCTTCGACCGGAATCGAACCGATGTCTAAAGATTACTCTGTTAGACTACCATTCAAAAGCTTCATTACATCTAATTTTAATATTAGAAATATAAACCCTGTTATGCACATCAAAGTATGGACCCATCATACTGGTGAAGAAATAATAAATGTGTGAACCTTTCACACCTGTGGATGAAATAATAAATGTGTGAACCTTTCACACCTGTGGCTGAAATAAAAAATGTGTGAACCTTTCACACTTGAGGATGAAATAAATGTTCCAGGTGAAACGATACAGGGAGGTCACATCACAGTACATAAGGTCACATTTTTATGTCAAATTGTGTTGAAACTTCTTGACTAAATATTTCAGAGCAGGTTCAAAAGTAAATTTCTAGTAGTGAATTTGAAATGCTAATTACATCATATTTGCAGTACTTGACTGACACTTGGGTGTCATAAAACAAGTAGTAAGAAACTTAATTTAGCAAGTGTAAAAAAGTACTGTGTATCATGCATGAAAACTTGATGCACCAGTGCACCAATGTATCGTTTCAGCCCTAATAAATGTGTGAACCTTTAAAACTTCTGGCTTAAATAATAGATGTGTGTACCTTTCACACTGAGGAAATAATAAATGTGTGAACCCATCACACTTGCTAAAATGAATAAAACTATATGAAAATCTAAAAGGCACTCACTGTAAAGGACGATGAACTTGATAACCCTCAGCCTTTCTTCAGCCATCGGATGGTGCAGAGCTCAAGCAATTTTTAATGTTTTACAAATATTTCAGTACCTACCTCACGCTTTGTTACATCATGTTTTGGCCACAGATGAATCACAATTCCAAATATGTGTATAGCAACGAAGAAAGGGACGGGGGCATTATGATTATTTAAGATACATTTTTCGGGACATGTCATTTATTGGGGGTGGGGAGATAGGAGAAAATGTTACATGGATTGTGTGGGGGTTGGTGAGTTAAACGCGATGCAGTCCTTAGACCGCTTCCAAGATACTATCTCTGCTTAAATTTACTATGTATATTCGTATTATTGAATGATTGCCCAAATAATTATAGAATCTATAAACCGGAAGTTATCCCAACCGCATGTAAAAGGGTGTAATATTTTGCACACTGCCAGTGAGTCATTAATTCGAAGAATAAATTATTGTGACTGACACTTACCTTCCGTACAAGATCCGTGGTCACCGCTCTTTCCCTCGTCAGTGCATCTCAAAGCGTCCTTAGCAACGGGGGCATGTTGTTTACGTGAACGAAAACTGAAGCACTTATGTTGTCGGCATTATCGCGTCGATGCTTACGTTATTTGTTTAGCGATCTCAGTTGTCTAAACTAAACATATGTTCTACCAATGACCATGATACCAATATTGCACTGTGTAAAGTGACAAAATGGGGAATAGTTACTGTTACATTCTTATAAAATACCTGCTCAGTAAGAAAAGCCGAGAAACAGCAATATCAGAAACTTACCGTTCTATCAGATCGATTTTTCTTCCTGACACTCGAGCACCTCGTGCTTTGAGCTCAGTCTTCAGTTCGGGCAACTTCCAGCTTCCGTAATTCATGATAGAAATAGGCCTTCAAGTACTACCGGCTGTTTACAGAAAAGCAAGTGGGTCAATGTCGACTGAAGTTTATATGTTCCCGCGGATACAACGATGAATGTTGGACCGTAACTACCGCAGCGCCGCCAAGCGGGCAAGGGGGCGCAACTCCAGGAATGTTTGCCATTGGGATCGATGCCATGCTTCAACCAAGTCAGCGAGCCTGACCACCCGATCCCGTTAGTCGCCTTTTACGACAAGCATAGTCACCTTTTACGGTAATGTCGTAACTGCTTCCGGGCGTCCTAATACAGTTACTAAATGTATTGCCGTTCCTGGTCCTTGTGGTCAATTACGCCATGACATTGCCACTCGCCTTGTCCGCCGCGGCTCGGCTCCGTCAAGGAGTGATTGGTCTAACGACACTTACTCCAAGTTGTCTCTATCAGCATTCACACACGCATAATAAAGAAACGCAACACCAGTTTATACTCACATAGTTTTACTTACTCTCAGCCCATCTATCAATACACGACAGGATCAGACCGGCCAGACTCGTCACCAACTGGGGGAAACTTAGAACGATCGGGATTCGACTCGATCGATTGCAAACCGCGCTCTCCTCTCCTAATGTTGAAGGTATCATTTTATAGTGTTGGAGCCTGGCTTGTCCTTGTCACATGTCACAATACCTCATTTTGATTCGTTAAAAGTTAGATCTGACCATGAACTCATGTCTGTCATAATCGGAAAAATACAGAAGCCGACGTGCCATATTGCTCATCTCTCTATTGATTTTGTGACACGTATCCGGAAGCTCCAAATGACGCACGCACGCACGCACGCACGCACGAACGCACGCGCACACACACCATATAAATATTCAATCCTATTTCGGTTGAACAATGTTATCTTATTCAGACAATACGGCTGCAATATTGCCGATGCGATGTAAAATTTTAACTCACTCACTCTTATTCAGGACAAAGGAGCAGCAAGCACATCAGAAAAGTTAGGAAGTAACAAGAAGCCAAAGAGGAGGGTCAACTTGGGGCCAAACCTTCCTTTGTTTGTTTGTTGTTTAACGCCGCAATATTCCAGCTATATGACAACGGTCTGGAAATAATCGAGTCTGGACCAGATAATCCATGGATTGACATCATGAACATAAATCCACGCAATTGGGATCGATGCCATGCATCAACCAAGTCAGCGAGCCTGACCACCCGATCCCGGCAAGCATGGGTCCCGGCAAGTATGGGTTGCTGAAGACCTGTTCTACTCCGGACCTTCACGGGTTTCATTGGGTATTTGGTTCAAATGCTGCTTGTAACCATGGAAAGTCGTGTATTTAATTCATGCAAACTCTTACATCCTTCGCATTTAGGCACCCTTGGCCACCCTCTTACTAACACCCAGACCCTTGACGATTCCGGGGTAGAATAGGTCTTCAGCAACCCATGCTTGCGGTAAAAGGTGACTATGCTTGTCGTAAGAGGCGACTAACGGGGTCGGGTGGTCAGGCTCGCTGACTTGGTTGATGCATGTCATCGATCCCAATTGCGTAGATCGATGCTCATGATATTAATCACTGGATTGTCTGGTCGAGACTCGATTATTTCCAGACTGCGGAAGAGGTGGGACACCCAAGTGGGTATAAACAAATTACATGCAATAAAAGCAAATATCGGTTATACCTACTTGGGTTGTCAGTCCAGATTTGAAGAGGTCGTATTAAGACGATGTCGTATTGGCCATTCTCGATATACTCATGAATATTTACTTAAAGGTGATGATCCTCCATTCTGTATCCCTTGTGATGAAAGAATCACAAGGGATCAATATTTCAAAGTTTCAGCTATGAAGAACCTTTTTACTCAGGTAACTTCTCATTTTATTCTTATTTTTTTTTAATGAAATCGAATTGTTCCATAAATTTTGATCATTATGTTTTGTAAATAAATAAATTAACTTTTACAATTGGTAAAATAAATCAGTAACTGAGATTGTTAGTGACTATGTCCTCGAAGGGGGTTGAAGTAGTGTAAAATTATTGTCCCCCTGGGAGGGTGTGTGGGGCCGCGTCTTTCGGGGTGTGTTTGTTTCTGCCTCGGTTTTGATCGTGGCATGTGTGTTATTTTAAAGTTTGCTAACTTTGTCAATAATCGCCAACAGCTAAAGGGATGATGTAAATCTGGCTGGGGTCCATGCAGGTAGCAAAAGTACTGTAAGTCCCCATGGACCCTAGCATGGTGATCTCTCGTCAGTGGCTGGCGATCTATAGGTCATTTTTATGTAGTATTGTTACGTACATTTATGTTGTTATATTTTTATGGCTAACTACTAGTTTTAGATATAGTCTGTGATAAATCTAGTTATTTTACTGTCCTTCGTTGACAGGTTTTTATTTCGTATAAATATGTGTATTATTAATGATGAAAAATTAATGAAATACTGCCGATGTGACGATAAATCTTAACTCACTCACTCAATCACTCACTCACTCACTCCAGACTGTCGTCATATAGCTGGAATATTGCTGAGTGCGGCGTTAAACAACAAAACAACCAACCAACCAACTTACATCCACCGTCGTGATATCTGTAACATCTCACTCACTAACTAGAGGAATTAAATTACCACTTTCTAAAATAATACATGTAGACATAAACAAAACACACACCACACAGCCCATTATGAAACTGCATTGAGTTGTTATGTCAATAAGCCTAGATCCTCAACTTTGGCCTGTACTATACTTTGATACGGAAGTTACGTCATTATCTATTTTAATAACTTCACGCTTTCCTCTGCGAATAGCTGCATCTTATCAAGGGCATGCTTGATATTTTACCCAACCCAAAGTAAGTACTTATTAACTTTTATACATGTATTTCCATTAATGCCAACTGCCTGGTAAGATACTTGGACCATGTGTGCGTTTAAGTTGTATCAGCGATCTCTATCGCGTGATGTATAGTTACACACAGGGGTCACCTCACGTCTAAGTAAGTTACATAACAGTTCAACGCTTTCAAGATTCGGTATGTTGTTACAACTCATTCATTACTTGTTCTAATGTTAATTTTGAATTTGGAAATGTTTATAGAACCTGCATGTCACATTTTGTGTATTTTGACGAAAAACAATCGAACATTTTCGGATGGAAAATTACGTGGAGTCATGTCTTAAAATAACTGGGAAAACCAGACCGAAAATAGATTTTTATAAAAATACATGTGCATGACGTGTCGTCTTATATATAACATTATAGTGATTGAGAACGTATTAGATATATATTTTAGAAACGTGCACATAACTAGTAAATGCTTTTTACATGACTGTTTTGTGTATTCGTTAAATCATCATATTGACTTCAAGAGTTGTAACATTGTCGCTACTGTATTGGTACATTGTCGAGTTTGTTTGTTTGTTGTTTAACGCCGCACTCAGCAATATCCCAGCTAAATGACGGCAGTCTGTAAATAATCGAATCTGGACCAGACAATCCAGTGATTGACATCATGAGCATCGAGCTACGCAATTGGGATACGATAAAATGCATCAACCAAGTCAGCAAGCCTGACCATCCGATCCTGTTAGTCGTCTCTTACGACAAGCATAGTCGCCTTTTACGGCAAGCATGGGTTGCTGAAGACCTATTCTACCCCGGATCTTCACGGGTCACATTGTCGAGTACATGCTGAAATTACAAGTCATTTTACACAATGATATATACCATAATAAACGGATATATTATGCACTAAATAATCTGTGGTATAAGTGAGACTTTTTATCCCACATCCTTGCCATGGTATGTTGTATTTTAAGGCCGATACACCCCCCTTTTCACTCATAACTGCAGGTGTTTGTTTATAACCCGCCTGCGTTTTTCTCATGTTACTATGGGGGCGGTGGGGTAGCCTAGTGGTTAAAGCGTTCGCTCGTCACGCCGAAGACCAGGGTTCGATTCCCCACATGGGTACAATGTGTGAAGCCCATTTCTGGTGTCCTCCGCCGTGATATTGCTGGAATATTGCTAAAAGCGGCGTAAAACCATACTCACTCACTCATGTTACTATGCCAAGATTATATACGTAGACGATGTTTATTTTTACAATTTCGAACAAAATTGGATTTCTAGACATACTTTAGCCCATGGGATGGAATACAATCTCCCAACCTTCCGTGTAGGATGCCACTGACTTTATTGCTCTGAGTTATCAGTGATATATAGGTGTGATTGGGTTCTTATCTTTTCAAGAACATTTTATGTCCGTTTTAGTTGTCATCGTCAGCCACGATAGGTAATCATCAAAGCATTGAAACATAATTGACGTGAGTGAGTGTGGTATTATGCCGCTTTTAGGAATATTCCAGCAATATCACGGCGGGGGACACCAGAAATGGGCTTCACACATTGTACCCATGTCGGGATTCGAACCCGGGTCTTCGGCGTGACGAGCGAACGCTCTAACCACTAGAATGCCCGACCGCCACGAAATATAATTGAATGTTTACCAGCCCGTTGTAGTGTATTAGCAGTCATAATTGTTATTCCTCGATATATCGTTCCGCGATGGAACTCTGTACTGGTCGATACACTTCGAAAGGCCCAATTGCGTGGATCGATGCTCATGATGTCAATCATTTGATTGTCTGGACCAGACTCGATTATTTGCAGACCGCCGTCATATAACTGGAATACTGCTGAGTGCGGCGTTAAACAACAAACCAACCAACCACTTCGAAGGGATTTGGGATAACTGTTACGTACCTATATCATTCTGAAAACCTATGCCGTAAAATTAGACGGAAATAACGCAAAGTAATCTAAATGTAAAGGTATTTTCTAAATCCTAACAGAATTGTGATGGTTTAAGGGTATTTTACATGACATTCAAATTTCACTTAGCATAAACATAGGATATGCAAAATATGTTTACAACCTATGCAAGAAATTGTTAATCGGTTTACAAAATCCCCAACTACCCGTGGTGTGTTAACATATTATGCATTCTGTAGAATATAATGATGGCAAATGACCATGTGTACAATATTCAACGTTACCCTGAGCAAAGTACATCTTTCCGATTGTGATACCGTAATCAAAACAACACTTTTTTTCTTTTCTGGCTGACTCTCCTGTGGTGGTGGTAAACTTACTTACCATATGCCTTCTGATAACAGATGACGTCAAATCAAGAATTCACCCATTAATTCGGGTCCACTCAGGTATACTCGAATCTACTCGGGTTCACTCGCCTCATTCCGCTACCTACATGGGACTGAGACAAGACGAGTGCAGTTCACTTTTGCCTTTCACATAGAAACGATATGAGAAGTTGACTTCGCCGCGTGACAATAGGTCACCATTGATTGCTATATATAACTTGGCGTCAGGGCTTTACGTGTGCATCTTGCGTACTGAAATACACACACGCATAGTGGTTTTAGACCTAAGGGACCAACCGTATATATTTATTTAGACCCATGAGCCTGACTTTTTTTAAGAAAAGAAAACTTGCAACAATGTCATTTTGTGGTAGGCAATTTCTTCGTTTTTTCGATACAATAAAATCCAGGCTGTGTCGACCCCCTAGACTAACATATAGTCTCTGAAATGAACATATCGTACAGAAAAAAACAGTTGTTCAGTTATCTTAATAAAAATCTAATAAAAAGGGAGCCCAGTGATTCTCTTCATTTTCAGATACTGCAGTAATCTAGACTTGCCAAACATTATAGACTTGCATGGGCTGTAGTTGATATAAATGTATCAGGGTCTGTAAGACAGACTGTCGACCCCCTTCAACTTCCAGTATATCAAATAGTCGTCCGTTAAAGCCCATTTTTTATTGTAAAATGGTTTTGAGGAAATATTAATAAATAAATTTCAATCCCTCAGGAGGTTTCAATCAGGTTCGCTCTGCTAGATATAATAAAGTGATTTCTAGTATATGTTAATTTTAGGTTGTTTTCACATGTATAAAATATCAATTTCCATGCGAGTGAGTGAGTTAATGCTTTACGTCACATCGGCAATATTTCAGCCATATTGTGACGAGAAGTTATACATTTTTAACACATATTATATCGAAACTAAATAAAACCTGTCTTCGATGGACAGTAAAATTACTAGAATAGCACAGATTTTTATATTAAAACTAGCAAACAACCATAAAAATATATCACTATAAGTAACGGATCAATAGAAAATGGGCTATAGATCGTCAGCAGTTGAAGGTAGATCACCATGCTAGGGTCCATGGGGACTTACAGTACTTTTGCTACCTGCATGGACCCCAGCCGGATTTACATCTCAGCTGTTGGCGATTATTTAAAAAATTAGCCAAAGTTAAACGAACATATATTGCAGTATGAAATGTATAAATGGATGTATAATGTAATGTATAACTCGTTAAGGAATATTAACGTTGTCTTTTCGAATGTTAAGGAAACCAAAATTCAAATGGCCATAATTAAATCAGCCTGTGAGTGATTCCTGATATTATCTGTATTAAATGAAAGGTTACATTTAGTAGGTCATAGGTAACAGGCCCCGCTGTTTAAAGTAGTCGATGCTATAAATTTACTTCAACAAAATGATGGGTACGTTTCGTTAGATTCGGTTACGTTTGGTTGGGATTTTATCGGAATATTTTTTTTTGTACCAGACAATGCTTGGCTGCAGAAAAACAAATAATGTGTCTGCCACAAAAATGATATTGTTTTAATTATTTTAAGCTCATAGTTTTAATTAAATATTTCTCTTATGCAACTGTCTACAAAATCCCATAGTTCACCCTAGATGTCCCTTCAGCTCTATGCAGCATAAAACTTAACTCGTCGCTGACCCAAATAGTTCCCCGCCGCTGGTTAAACAATATATTATAATTGACATGCTTAAAGCCCCACCCTGACTATAAATAGCCCGCAAGGTGGCGGTGTTTCAGTTTCGAACAATGACTGACAATGTAAACACAACCGAGTGTCGGGAGAAGCTTTTTGAAAACCGTACGGGAACCATATCACCATTGACCGTCAAACTTCGTATCAACTTGAATGACAAACCATGGATACAACAAATGGCTCCATATCTAGAAATAAGTCAATCAATTTTCTGTAGTTTTATCATAAAAAATCGAATCGATCGTGTTTGGCGTCTGCATCAATCACAGTGGGCGGAGCTTATTTACAGTTGCGCTATAAATAGCAAAGCACATGGTCATGTGTACATGTGACACCTTCAATGTATTTGTGGTCAAAGTGTTTTGTGTTGTATATTTTTACGGCTGAACAGCAGCAGAACATCGGTTTCGGTTAATGTAACAGTAACGATACTTAAATACGAAATTGACGACACGATTCTTTCAGTTCAATCCGAAAATTACAGATATTTGTTTAGTTTTGGTCATTTGCATGCAACAGTTAGATCTGTGCCACACAATAATCAGATTATATTTATAAAGCTTAAATTATTACACAGATTTTTCAACTAGTGTTTAGGAAATGTGTGCGTTATCATGACGTCATATTGACCTGTCAGATCACTCGTATAAGCTCCGCCCCCTAGAGTGCGGTAGTTCCTACCGCAGATGCCCCTTTAACATGACCATCTGAATGACCAACTGGCACTACGAAGAAGATCGAAACGATCTCCAAAAGGTCCAAATTACCAAATGTCATCAAAACGCTAACTTTCAGTAGCTCAATATACAAGATAAGCTACATTATGTTTTAACTGACGAGAGACCCGTGAAGATTCCGGGATAGAATAGGTCTTCAGCAACCCATGCTTGCCGTAAAAGGTGACTATGCTTGTCGTAAGAGGCGACTAACGGATCGGGTGGTCAGGCTCGCTGACTTGGTTGATACATGTCATCGATCCCAATTGCGTGGATCGATGCTCATGACATCAACCACTGGATTGTCTTGTCCAGACTCGATTATTTACAGACCGCCGTCATATAGCTGGAATATTGCTGAGTGCGGCGTTAAACAACAAACCAACCAACCAAAACTGACAAGTGCTTATCTTTCACGTTGCCAAAACCTGCGAAAGTAATTTATTAAAGCGTCGTTTAACTTTGTATAAATGGTTTTATCCTTTTTATTGTGTATTTTAATGCCTGTTTACTGTTTATACATGGTCTTAACTATATGTATATAGTCTCTCTTAAGTCGCTGGGCGATGGGTCATGTTTTTATTTTTCATGTGTTTTATACTATGTTTTATCAAATAAACAATTCTGTCTGTCTGTCTGGATCTGAGGCTTGCCAGACCGCCTGCTTCGGCTAGTGGTATAGCGCCTGCCCAGAGAGTGGAAGGTCCGGGGTTCGATCACCGGCCCCGTCATACCAAAAGACGTTTAAAGATTGCACTTGTCACTCTGCCTGGCGCCCGGCATTTAGCGGCTTATACAAGGACGGGTCGGCTCTGAGTCAGTATACTGTGTCTGAGAGGGGTATTCATGTTAAACTGAGACATTGTATCTCAGTGGGCTATCACTATAACCCTGTGTCGGTCACGTGACGTGCCATGCTTTTGGTGCCAATACCAAAGTCAGATCTCGTGCTCTGGGCCCCATTGAATACCCTAGGTGCAGTCGACTGCGATTCCCCTCCTTTCAACCTTGCGACGACTCTGTTCCTTGTACGTCAGGTAATCGTGGCATGATTTCACAGGTAAACAGTTCTTGGCATCCGAACCCTGTCTCCACCTACACACGCACTTTCATAGCCCTATTAAGTGTCACGTCCACAGCGTGCATGTGTTTGTTTGTTTGTTGTTTAACGCCTCACTCAGCAATGCTAAAGCTCTATGACGGCGGTCTGTAAATAATCGAGTCGGGACCAGACAATCCAGTAATTGACATCACGAGCGTCGACCAACGCAATTGGGATACGATGACATACATCAACCAAGTCAGCGAGCCTGACCACCCGATTCCATTACTCGCCTCTTACGACAAGCATAGTCGCCTTTTACGGCAATCATGGGTTGCTGAAGACCTATTCTACCCCGGGTCTTCACGGGTCACGTGCATGTGTCCATCGCAGAATATAGCAGAAATATTACTGTTGCGGCGTTGAGCAATATTCACTCACTATTGTTGCGTTTTGGTTATGTATTTGGTAGTTGATGCACTTTGATGATGCATAACATTATTAATTTGGTGCAAAATGTCATCATACTCATGTTTCACTTACCATTTATGGGCTAACATCTTTCACTTTAGCGTTTCTATTTTTGAGTAATATGGTTTTATCAGAGCTTTTCAATATCTGCTTTGAGAACCTTATACAACATCAATGTGTCAGCTGAGCTGAGGAAGATGTGGTCGCATTTGTTGACTTTATTTTACGTGAACTTTTTACTACTTTTCTTCAGATAACAACATGGCCCTTGACAGCAATGTAACACCAAACACACTACAGAGTATTCCGGAAGAAGATGCTGCCATGTCCAGTAGTATTGAGCAGAAGCCCCACTCAATACCATCAAAGAGAGTAGAAGATGAGGACGACGCGGTTATTGTATTTGCACACAAGGACGGCAGTGAGGCTTTGAAAGTTGAAGATGACTTGAGAAGGTTGAAACTGAAAAACGGATTTCCCCCGAGACTATGCTTATACGATTGCGAAAAATTCAGTGGTTCGCTCATCAAATCGCCAGATTTACTAGTTAAAAATTGCAAACTCATTTTTATTCTATTAACTAACAACTTCGAACATGATAAAAACTGCAAGTTTGTGCTTGAAGAAACACTGGCAGCAACCAGGTTAGAGAAAGACGATTCGGATGTGAAAAAATACTGCGTGCGCGCACTCCACACACAACCCAGGAAGTGTCGCAATTATACAACACCATGTGGGCTTAAGGCAATTCGTTCGTTTGATTTACAAAACGAATATGATCGAGGAAAACTTCTGGATTTGTTTAATTACAACAGGGGTCTCCAAGAAACCGTTCATTGCTCTGTCCAACAAGGAGATCTGGACAAGGCGCCTAAAGAAGACCAAAGCCACTTGGACCTTGCGGAAACAAACCTTGTGAACGACTACACCACTATGAGTGCACCCCCTAGTGCAATGACATATGGTTCAAAACCACCAAAACAGACGCCACGTGCTCATACAGACAGAAGGACGTTCAGCAAGGAAACGCCAAATGATAATGATATCAATCAGGGACCCGACAGTATGGAGGCTCACTATGGCAGCGAATCTTTAAAGAAAGGGATGTACACTGGCATCGGTGAACCTTTAGAACCCAAGGATGGCGTCCCATTTATTGATGACACAAGCACCGTAAATGATCCATGCCCCGATCTTTCTTACAGTATGGGAAGTTTGTGTATGGACGGGAAACGGTCAGTGGTTCAGAGAAATGGCTATTGTAAATCGCTGGCTCCACTATTGGGAGAAACGGATTTGGGTAATTCTTTGGAAAGAGATACGCGGGATCCGACTGATGGAGCTGCATCTGGGCCTGATCAGACACATGTGCAGAGTGGATGTCCCTCAGGTGATGCAGCAGATCAGGGCGGAAATAAAACTGACAAAAGTGACACCAATCAAAAAACGTCAGCTGGCACGGTCCCCGTAGGATCCTTCGTTTGTTCACCATCATCTAATGAGCCTGAGGGACATTATGTTAATACTTCTAATGCTCCAAAACCAGAAGATGGGGAGAAAGCCGAAACATCGTTCACCGGAGACTCGGAAGACATCAAACCCCAAAAGACTTCGTCCATCAGTACAAATACCACCGACATGGTGAGGGAGGTACAGCAGAGTAAGACACGTGATCCAAAGATACAGCGGTGCCCACATGTTGGATCTGCATCGACATTCCAGGGAGCAGAATCCTCTCCACACTTATCTTCTATCAAGGATGAGGTATTTCCGACTTACGAAGGAACGGAACGGAAGCTGGGGGTAGCGGGGGCATCTAAAGAATTCCCAATTGACTCCTCTTGTGCATATATAACTGAGGGTGACACTATCACACAGCCAGTGATGAAGACAAATGGGCCGGGTCATCTTTTGGCTCCATTGTGTTCATCTCCTTCCAGTGAAGATACAGTGTTGTTTGGTAAGTAGCATTGTAATTTCACATGGTCGTGGTTTCGAGTCCCATTTCAAGCTGATTGCCGTCAAATAGCTGAAATACTGTTCAAAATGGCGTTTAAGCAAAACTCATTCACTCACCATAGTTTAAAATTGTTATTACTTCTACGTGTTTTGAAGATGTGACCCCAAAATCCCAGCCAAAATCTCAAAACAGCTTCCTTCCAATCAACGCATTATAACTTTGTCAATGTTTTCTTTGTTCTGTAGTTAATTCGAAGTGTTTTCAAATCTTTAGGTAGACTATGGGTTACTGCGTTGGCTTGTCACGCTGAGCATTTTAGTTCGATACTCAACATTGGTACCATTTGAGATTCCAATTGTTGGTATTCATAAGATGTTTTTATGCTGATTTTAATTTTATCTCACCCTTGGTGTCGTCCCCGGATTAATTGATTGATTGATTAATTGATTGATTTCAGGACCTCATAGTACAAAAGGTGACGACCACAACCCTCCAAAGCCATCTGCTCAAGAAGAACCTAGACATGAACCACGATCCCAATTGCCACGTGAGTTGTATTTTAATCTTTCTTTTCTTTGTTGTTCAACGCAGCATTCACCATTATTCCGGCTTCATGCACATACGTGAAAATAATCAAGTATGGACAAGACAATCCGGTAATTAATGTTATTGCCAACGACCCAAACCACCTGAGTACCATGTGAAGCAGTCAACCAAGTATGGACCAGACAATCCAGTGATTAATGTTATTACCAACGACCCAAGCCACCAGGGAACATGTCAAGCAGTCAACCAAGTATGGACCAGACAATCCAGTGATAAATGTTATAACCAACGACCCAAGCCACCAGGGAACATATCAAGCAGTCAACCAAGTATGGACCAGACAATCCAGTGATAAATGTTATAACCAACGACCCAAGCCACCAGGGAACATGTCAAGCAGTCAACCAAGTATGGACCAGACAATCCAGTGATAAATGTTATAACCAACGACCCAAGCCACCAGGGAACATGTCAAGCAGTCAACCAAGTATGGACCAGACAATCCAGTGATAAATGTTATAACCAACGATCCAAGCCACCAGGGAACATGTCAAGCAGTCAACCAAGTATGGACCAGACAATCCAGTGATAAATGTTATAACCAACGATCCAAGCCACCAGGGAATATGTCAAGCAGTCAACCAAGTATGGACCAGACAATCCAGTGATTAATGTTAATACCAACGACCCAGGCCACCAGGGAATATGTCAAGCAGTCAACCAAGTATGGACCAGACAATCCAGTGATTAATGTTAATACCAACGACCCAGGCCACCAGGGTACATGTCAAGCAGTCAAGTTGCCCAACCTGAACACCCGATCCATTCTGTCGCGACAAGCATGGGTTGTTAGGGACCAATTTTAATCCGGAATCGTTACAGAGTCAACTGTATATTAAATGAAGTTGTATTTTCAAATAGAACATACACAGTCAAGTTAATTTAGTAGTGGTTGAATTGTCAAACAGGTATTTTTTTCTCAGATGAACTGACGATTACATGTTTCACATCCTAGAATCTATTATGTATCATGTTCTCCATTGATATCGATCTCATCTCATCAAATTTAATAAATATTGACAAGATTAAAATCCGATATCACTATTGAACCAAAGAACGGAATATTGCTAAAAAGCGGCGTTAATCTACACTCACTCACTCACTCACTCACTCACTAAATATGCTGGGGCTAATCCATGATATAAGCTATAGGCAAATGTCGGTGTCTTAAATTCAGTCCTTGCTGCAACATGGAGCCAATGGAGTGATCCCAGAATGGGAGTGATATATTCTCTCTTTTTGCAGGGGGCACGGGAGGCCCAGTCGTCTAGGGCGCCGCGATACGCTGTGCAGAGTTGCGTCCCTTGGGCTCGCCAGAAACCTATGATTGTGGGTTCGAATCACGGTTCGCCCCGATTATGTTTCAAGGTTTGTCAGCACCATACCCATGTTGGTGGGTTTCACCGAAGTGGTAAAAGCCTGAGACCTGCATCACTTCGGGCTTTCCTCCCACATTAAGCTGACACGCCGTGATATGACTGGAATACTGTTAAAAGCGGCGTTAAACCCAACTCACTCACTCACTCTCTTTTTGCAGACACGTTAAGATCTGGGTAGAGAAAAGGCCTACAGTAACCAATGCTTGCTATAAGAGGCGACTATGCTTAGGAGATAAACATACAGTAAACTACGGTTATAACGGTTATAACGATCTCAAAATGTTAAATTTAGTGCGGTTTAATCTACAGGTAACCTAGCTCTACATTGAAAACAAAGCATGTATATCTCCATTCTACCATGACTAAATAAAACGCGAACTCTTTGGTGTTAGCAAATATACTGAGTGAAGCGGCATGGGTTGAGTCCAGTGTTTTGAGGGGGTTATCGATCTGAATTACAAAATCACCGGACAAAATATGAGGTTTCAAATATTAAATTTAGCGCGGTTAAATCTACAGGTAACCTAGCTCTACATTGAAAACACAGCATGTATATCTCCATTCTACTGTGACTAAATAAAACGCGAACTCTTTGGTGTTAGCAAATATACTGAGTGAAGCGGCATGGGTTGAGTCCAGTGTTTTGAGTGAGTTATCGATCTGAATTACGGAATCACCAAAAGTCAACAAAATATGGCGCCGTATATACTCAAGCAGTTTGTTTACACCGTAATACTTCACTCGAACATATGACAGGCATTGAAAGCATATAAGCACGGCAACTTCGTAAGCTAACATGAGGTGGGCATCCCTAAAGAAAACTTAGCAAGCTTTCCAAGGCTTTCGTTCTACATCACACGTCACCTTTATGACGTCATATTGCTCATTGTGATGCAAAAGATATAACGTCACAGTCATATATAGATAAGCGCCAAAATTCTAAGCTCTATCGTGTTTTCTGCACGAAATGTATTGCCACACATCCTTTGAATATTGTAGTAACTGCATCTGTGCATTTTGTAACCTGTAATTGTAGATATAATTTTTTAAATATGCCTACCGACAATGACTGAAAATAGTACTATTCTATGAATATAAGTTCTGCGGTGATGCGGCTGATGTGGTTGATGCATGCCATTGTATCGCAATTGCGTAGATCAATGTTCATAGTCCATACTCGATTATTTACAGAATATTGCCGAATGCGGCGGAAAACAACAAACATATCTTTTTGCATGATGCTGAAGCCTGCTTGTTCGCACCAATGGCGTCACTTCAATTTACTTGAGAGTTTCAATCAAATGTGGCAGCTACAAGAACTATGTTCTCAACAGAAACCGCTGGATCGTCTATCAACTAGCCTGCTGAATTATTTTCACACTTCTTACCCCTGCCTGCTGGATTAATTTTAGCATAAGGCGCTCTAAAGAGGGTGGGTGATTTCAAACAGTCGGTGCCTCATTAAACAAGGGCCAATTGAAGAAATATTTTGCACATTTATTCCTGACAGAAAACTACACAATTCTATATAAAAATATCCTGATATTTTCAATCATACCAAGGTTAAGACCAAAGCGAACACAAAATTTGTAAATTTTCTTGAACTAACCTGAATTGCGTTATTGAAGGTGGTTTGCATTTCATGCTAGGAACCTTTTAATATCGTAACATTTGTGCAAATTGATTTCAATAATCATATCTCCGATATCTTAATTTTAATTAAGTAAAAATTCGGGTTTTATAATCGGCATATATCAGCGCGATGGTAAATTATGAACCATTTCAGTGAATTTATTATCTAAACGTTAAACAGAAATATAATATCACTTTCCTATCAAAACAATTCATTCTAACTTAGGTTTAACCAACTTAACTGGCCTCTCCTTCAGTGACAAGACGTCAATTTTCTCTCAACACTAAACAATCAATTTCAAGGATCACAGTCATAATCATGTTTGGAACTTGATGAAATATTTTATCATGTGTTCTGTTCATCTACATGAAAACATAAATATAATTATAGATCTATTGTCTTAGGTACAAATTCACAAAGTATTTTGGGTACAATTTAATTTGTTTTGGGTACAAAATCACATATACCACGTGTACAAAAATTTTATCGGTTCAGAGGACGAGAGGTTCTCAGAAAGTTTTCAACAACATCTTTAATATTTAAATTGTTCTTTTTTTAATGTTAGACCAATAACAATATTATGTTATTATTATGGCATATCAATACGTTGTATCGCTCTCCGTTGCGTTCGTTTTTAGAAAATATTTTTAAAATTAAAATCATCGAGCGTGAAATCAATTACGGTTTCGGATTTAGACTTACACATTTGATGGCGACAATCACGAAGAATTATGAAACAAATAGGAGTGAAGACTGCTCTCCAGATCAATAAATAGTAAATAGTTGACGAAAAATAGTAAATTATGTATTTTCTTTTGAATTTGAATCTATTTCGGAATTTCTTTATGATAGCTTACCAACTTTTGCATATTTTGCTTCCATGTGTCACATGCGGTACGTGCTTCCGGTTTCAGAAATGATAGCTAAAATTGCAAGTATTTTGATTATTTCTCGTAAAATGCATTATTTTGCTATTGAATGGTTTACCTAGAATGAATATCAGTTCAGATTTTGCGTATCATCCAATATTTGTCATTTTTCGCAGTGTTTGTTGACTTTGTTCAACTCAACAAATCGCGAGTTAGGCCACGCCCAAACGTATCTCTGACGTTTGTCGGCTTGTCAATGTGTCGGAAAGTTTATCAAACGAAATCATTTGCAAACTCTTTAAAAATGAAATTCTTTTTACAAAGATTTATACATACGTGTCAATAATTCTAGAAAATTAAGTTAGATGTAACAAAATGATTGTAATAGTCTAACGGGATAACTATGCATGTGGAGTTGTTTGTTTACCGCCGTTGCCATGATCGTACAAGTTCCATCCAATCGATGATGTTACGATTCAGATTGTTTTTGTTTACAATTAGTTACACCGCAAGTTGCTAATTTTTAGAAATAAAGGAACATGAGTGTTTTCCTTTCGTCAGCAAACAAAAAATTATGATCGAATAGGAAAAATGATGAAATTATTAAGAAAATATCGGACTGCATGCCGCTCAACGTGAAGTGCCAAAAGTCAACAATGGCCTTTTCTGGTAGTTGTGTGCCGAGAAGTTTGGCCGAAACATTTTTAACTCGCGATATTTTCTTTTTGAGGTAAATAAATAACTGAACGTTTTGATATTGAGCAAGCTGAGCATTTATGCATGTCATACGTAATTTAAATGTTACGCAAAGCCTTCTTGGTAAATAGATAATGGCGAGTTTTATTTTGGGGTGTTGTTGTGCTATTCGCCTGTCGAATGAGTTCGACATCAGATGCACAGGGATGGACACCTCTGTCGAATGGGTTCGACGTTAGCGTGCAGAACTTTAAAAGAACTATAGAAAATGACACAAATATGTTTTGTACCACAATACACCATTCTGTTATTTCTGAATAAGTTGAACTGTTGTCTGTTTGAATGTGAATTATGATGGCATTGATGACTGAGAAGGAACACTAAGGATCTTCCCTTGCCGAACTAGGGTGGAATTATGGAGTTACATGTTGGCTGGACTAACGACTCTATGCATAGTCCAATCAAAATCATATAACGAACTAGACATCCAGTTCGCAAACTGAATGGATTTGAACAGATTTCAGTCAACTGCAGAATTTGCAAAGCATTGGTACTGCCAACTGGGGGTTGACAGATATTTTGCAAATATTTTCATGTTTTTAATCAAGGTGCTCAAGTTATTTGATGAACTTCATTTTATTACAATATAGATCTTGATAGGAGAGATGGAATCTGATTGGTCAGTAGGAGGGACATAGAAGGGGCATAACTCATAATAGCCACTGGTGGCACTACAAGCAAGCCTTGAAATACAAACTGAGTTCGGCAAGGGTGGAAACTGGACTTTTATTGTCAGTTAACGCCCTTGCCCCAGGAAGATGCTAGTGGAGTACATTTCTACAAAATTTAAACTTTGATATGATCCAGTTTAGTGTCCTTATGGACTCACTCAAAGCATTCGACAACAGAACTTTTGCTCACACTGCATCTGTGCTCTGGAATTCCCTTCCATTGGAAATTAGGCAATCTCCAACTCTGGACACTTTCAAGACAAAACTGAAGACTTATCTCTTTAGATGTGTCTATGACCCTATGTGAGGCGCTATGAGTGACTACGTAGACGGAAATGGCGCTGAAGAAATGGACTTTTATTATTATTATTATTATTATTATTATGAATATAAGAAATCATAGCTTGAATATTTTGTTCTGTGGGATGTTATTTGTATTATGGCTTTAATGTTTAGATGCTGATGATGTCATGGATCACATTGTGCCAGCTGAACGGTTTGGTGGAACCCCTAGCTCAGCAACATATGTCTTCATCAATCACAGCTCTCACATTGAACTCAGTGGAGACATTCATCTGGTCAAGTAACCTCAGTCAACTTCTTGACCTCTAGTGTTGGGAATTGGTTGTAAAAAAACATGTTTACCTAATGCTTCTGTAAAACTAGGCCTTATTTAAAAAACAAACTTAACTTACTGTTTTTTTCTCGAAGTGAGTGAGTTCAGTTTAACACCACTTTCAACAGTATTCCAGTTATATCACTGGTAAAACCAATGAGCACGGGTATGGTGCTGACACAACTAGAAACATAATTAAGGCGTACTTAGATTCAAACCCACAATCATACGTTTCGGGCATGCCCAAGGGACACGACTCTGCACAGTGCATTGCAGGGGCTTCGATGACTAGGCCACACATCCCCCCCATTTCTCTAAGTAGTGAATATACCTTCTCAGATAACAAAACTGTGTCAGGACTGAGAGAGGGGCAAAACTGTTTTGTGTTCGATTATAAGAATATTATGTTTGATTGCTTGGTCGTTTGGACCTTCTGATGAACCAATCCTTGCTGTAAGAGGTGAAAATACTGGTCGCAAGGGGTGACTAACGGAATCATTCAAGATCTGGGGAAGAATAGGTCTTCAGCAACCTATGCTTGCCGTAAAAGGCGACTATGCTTGTAGTAAGAGGCGACTATGCTTGTCGTAAGAGGCGACTAAAGGGATTGGGTGGTAAGGCTCGCTGACTTGGTTGATGCATGTCATCAATCCCAATTTGCGTGGATCGATGCTCACGATTTTAATCACTGGATTGTCTTGTCCAGACTTGATTATTTACAGACCGCGTCATATAGCTTGAATATTACTGATTACGGCGTTAAACAAAAACAAACAATTAATCGGAACACCACTATTGACATTGTCTACTGTTCCATGGTTAAAATGCTTATTCTGTTATACTTAAAAATATTTTATCTTGTTTTGATTACTTTTAATTTAAAATTGGCTATATCTGTATTAAAACCCCTGCAACTATGTTGATTGACTGTGTAGTTAGGCTGTATTTTGTAAGTAGTTGTTCTCTTTCTTTTGTCTTGTACAGTGAACACAACTTAAAACCCTGTACTTTAACTTGATATCAACCAAGTCTCCATCTTCGTCTATCAATCATATAGCATTAAACTTCATGACTTGTTTTATTGCGTGCATGTCGACAATTAATGTACTAATAATTAATTTATTTTGACCCTGAATAAAATAAGACACAAAAATTAAGTGAAATTAGTGGAATTGTACAGATACTTCCTATGATCATGTCGCCCCGATTATGTTTCTAGGTTTGTCAGCACCATACCCGTGCTCATTGGTTTCACAGAAGTGGTAAACGTCTGAGACCTGCATCACTTCGGGCTTTCCTCCCACATTAAGCTGACAAGCCGCAATATAACTGTAATACTGTTAAAAGCGGCGTTAAAATCTAACTCACTCACTCTTATGATTATTGAAATGTTTTTGTAGCTATTGTTCCATACTATCCATATTGATCTATGATGTATGTATATTTAACTGTTCCTCCATTTAATTAATATTAAGACTATTTATATCTCTACTTTGGCTCATGACATTTTATCTGGCACTCTCAGTTTGAATTTTCCAATAGAGAGGGAATTATAACTTTCCAACACTTAAGGAAAAGGTTTTTTTCCATTTTTAACGAACAAAAACTGGTTGTGAATGAGTGTCTTAGTCAGTGTCCAATTATTTTTTTTCTCAGTCCATAATATTCATACCTCTAACATAAATCTTACTATATATTGATATCAAAGTGCATACCAATAGCTTCTGAAACTCATTTAATAACCTTGCTTGTGTTTTCTAAAACTATCTTCTTACTCGTACCGCTAACTACATCTACCCTGGGTACCGGGTCTTATCTGGAACAGATCAATTACAAAAAAAAAGTTTGGAAAGCTTATCAGTGCATTTAACTGGGTTTCTCTTATCATCAGAATGTAATTAAAATACAAGTCTTGAAAGGCATTAAGAAGTGATACACATAAGGAAGAGAAATTATCAATGTCAACTTCTATATTATGAGGAACACAACGTTATATACTATATACTCCGAAATGTTGTGTTCCTCATAATAAAGAAGTTGACATCAATAAATTCTCCTCATAATAAAAAATTAAAAATGCTACATCTGTTATTCAGCAGTTTAGGTCTTGGTAGCGTATTACAAACATGACACATGACAAGGTACTATTGCCTTGTTATGATACCTAGGGCAATAAAACAATGATAGATTACTACCTGCATTTGAATTAATCCTTTCTTCATCATAGCGTGAACGCAAAGACAGAGTTCAAAGAGGGAAACAACAGTGACAAACCTTCTAGTCAGCCGAGGACAAAAAAGAAAAAACATGGCAAAAAACTCCTGACGTCAGGTTTTGAACAAACAGGTTCAAGTGGAAGTTCCAAATCTTCAAGCCCCTCTTCCACCCTGAAGATGAGCAGTATTGAGATGCCACCTAGCACTTCCCCTGAAACGGCCTCAGTTTGTGAGGTGACCCTGGGATCAGAGCTTGTGGAATCTAAAGGGGTTGCTGAAGAACCCTTGCCACGCCAGAGAGATTTGATGGAAGCAGAAGAGGATGCTGATGAACCCTCAGCTCTGGACACTAGGGAGATGAAGAAAGGGGACAAGAGTTCAGGTATGATTGCCCAGTGATACATGTATATTGTTTTGTTTTGTTTGTTTGTTGTTTAACGCCGCACTCAGCAATATTCCAGCTAAATGTCGGTGGTCTGTAAATAATCGTGTCTGGACCAGACAATCCAGTGATTGACATCATGAGCATCGATCCGCGCAATTGAGATCGATGACATGCATTAACCAAGTCAGCGAGCCTGACCACCCGATCCCGTTAGTCAACTCTTACGACAAGCATAGCCACCTTTTACGGCAAGCATGGGTTGTTGAAGACCTATTCTTCCCCGGAATCTTCACATTATTCAACATTATTCTCAGGCACTGACATTTATATTTACAGGAGTATCCACTGATTCTGTGATCACCCTCACTGTTACAAAACAAATGTCAGTGTGTGCTGTGGATGTGCATTTTGTACTCCAATTGTCCAATGTATTCTTCATGACATTAAAACATAAACAATAGATTTTGCAGAGCAATCCAGGTTAGAGCATACATGAAATAGCTGAAATGATATCATGACTGGTGTAAAACCCTTTCACTCACTGGGCGTTAACATGACTTGTGTAAAGCCCTTTCACTCACTGGGTGATATCATGACTGGTGTAAAAAAAAATTACTCACTGAGTGATATCATGACTGGTGTAAAACCTTTCACTCACTGAGTGATATCATAACTGGTGTTAAACCCTTTCACTCACTGAGTGATATCATGACTGGTGTAAAATCAATTTACTCACTGAGTGATATCATGACTGATGTAAAACTTTTCACTCACTGAGTGATATGACTGGTGTTAAACCCTTTCACTCAGTGAGTGATACCATGACTGGTATGAAAAACTTTTACTCACTGAGTGATATGACTGGTGTAAAACCTTTCACTCGCTGAGTAATATCATGACTGGTGTAAAACCCTTTTCACTTGCTGAGTGATATCATGACTGGATTAAAACCCTTTCACTCACTGAGGGATATCATGACTGGTGTAAAACCCTTTCACTTGCTGAATGATATCATGACTGGATTAAAACCCTTTCACTCACTGAGGGATATCATGACTGGTGTAAAATCCTTTCACTCGCTGAGTGATAACATGACTGGTGTAAAACCCTTTCACTCGGTGAGTGATATCATGACTTGTGTAAAACCCTTTCACTCACTGAGGGATATCATGACTTGTGTAAAACCTTTCACTCACTGGGTGATATCATGACGGGATTAAAACCCTTTCACTCACTGGGTGATATCATGACTGGCTTAAAACCCTTTCACTTGCTGAGTGATATCATGACTGGTGTAAAACCCTTTCACTCGCTGAGGGATATCATGACTGGTGTAAAACCCTTTCACTCGCTGAATGATATCATGACTTGTGTAAAACCCTTTCACTCACTGGGTGATATCATGACGGGATAAAAACCCTTTCACTCACTGGGTGATATCATAACTGGCTTAAAACCCTTTCACTTGCTGAGTGATATTATGACTGGTGTAAAACCCTTTCACTCGCTGAGGGATATCATGACTGGTGTAAAACCCTTTCACTCGCTGAATGATATCATGACTGGTGTAAAACCCTTTCAGTCGCTGAATGACATCATGCCTGGATAAAAACCAGAGTATCCACTGATTCTGTGATCACCCTCACTGTTACAAAACAAATGTCAGTGTGTGCTGTGGATGTGCATTTTGTACTCCAATTGTCCAATGTATTCTTCATGACACATTAAAACATAAACAATAGATTTTGCAGAGCAATCCAGGTTAGAGCATACATGAAATAGCTGAAATGATATCATGACTGGTGTAAAACCCTTTCACTCATTGGGCGTTAACGTGACTTGTGTAAAGCCCTTTCACTCACTGGGTGATATCATAACTGGTGTAAAAAAAAATACTCACTGAGTGATATCATGACTGGTGTAAAACCTTTCACTCACTGAGTGATATCATAACTGGTGTTAAACCCTTTCACTCACTGAGTGATATCATGACTGGTGTAAAACAATTTACTCACTGAGTGATATCATGACTGATGTAAAACCTTTCACTCACTGAGTGATATGACTGGTGTTAAACCCTTTCACTCAGTGAGTGATATGACTGGTGTGAAAAACTTTTACTCACTGAGTGATATCATGACTGGTGTTAAACCCTTTGACGCACTGAGTGATATCATGACTGGTGTAAAAACAATTTACTCACTGAGTGATATCATGACTGATGTAAAACCTTTCACTCACTGAGTGATATGACTGGTGTTATACCATTTCACTCAGTGAGTGATATGACTGGTGTTAAAAACTTTCACTCACTGAGTGATATCATAACTGGTGTTAAACCCTTTCACTCACTGAGTGATATCATGACTAGTGTAAAAACATTTTACTCACTGAGTGATATCATGACTGATGTAAAACCTTTCGCTCACTGAGTGATACTATGACTGGTGTAAAACCCTTTCACTCACTGGGTGATATCATGACTGGATTAAAACCCTTTCACTCGGTGAGAGATAATATGACTGGTGTAAAACCCTTTCACTCACTGAGGGATATCATGACCTGTGTAAAACCCTTTCACTCACTGAGGGATATCATGACTTGTGTAAAATCCTTTCACTCACTTGGTGATATCATGACTTGTGTATAACCCTTTCACTCAGTGAGGGATATCATGACTGATGTAAAACCTTTCACTCACTGAGTGATATGACTGGTGTTAAACCCTTTCACTCAGTGAGTGATACCATGACTGGTGTGAAAAACTTTTACTCACTGAGTGATATCATGACTGGTGTAAAACCCTTCACTCACTGAGTGATATCATGACTGGTGTAAAACCCTTTCACTCGCTGAGTGATATCATGACTGGTGTAAAACCCTTTTCACTTGCTGAGTGATATCATGACTGGATTAAAGCCCTTTCACTCACTGAGGGATATCATGACTTGTGTAAAACCCTTTCTCTCGCTGAATGATATCATGACTGGATTAAAACCCTTTCACTCACTGAGGGATATCATGACTGGTGTAAAACCCTTTCACTCGCTGAATGATATCATGACTGGATTAAAACCCTTTCACTCACTGAGGGATATCATGACTTGTGTAAAACCCTTTCGCTCACTGAGGGATATCATGACTTGTGTAAAATCCTTTCACTCACTTGGTGATATCATGACTTGTGTAAAACCCTTTCACTCGCTGAATGATATCATGACTTGTGATAAACCCTTTCACTCACTGAGGGATATCATGACTGGTGTAAAACCCTTTCACTCACTGGGTGATATCATGACTGGATTAAAACCCTTTCACTCGGTGAGAGATAACATGACTGGTGTAAAACCCTTTCACTCACTGAGGGATATCATGACCTGTGTAAAACCCTTTCACTCACTTGGTGATATCATGACTTGTGTATAACCCTTTCACTCACTGAGGGATATCATGACTTGTGTAAAATCCTTTCGCTCACTTGGTGATATCATGACTTGTGTAAAACCCTTTCACTCAGTGAGGGATATCATGACTTGTGTAAAATCCTTTCACTCACTTGGTGATATCATGACTTGTGTAAAATCCTTTCACTCACTTGGTGATATCATGACTTGTGTAAAATGCTTTTACTCGCTTAGTGATATCATGACTGGATTAAAACCCTTTCACTTGCTGAGTGATATCATGACTGGATTAAAACCCTTTCACTCGCTGACTGATATCATGACTGGTGTAAAATCCTTTCACTCGCTGAGTGATATCATGACTGGGGTAAAACCTTTTCACTTGTTGAGTGATATCATGACTGGTGTAAAACCCTTTCACTCGCTGAGGGATATCATGACTGGTGTAAAACCCTTTCACTCGCTGAATGATATCATGACTGGTGTAAAACCCTTTCACTCGCTGAATGACATCATGCCTGGATAAAAACCAGAGTATCCACTGATTCTGTGATCACCCTCACTGTTACAAAACAAATGTCAGTGTGTGCTGTGGATGTGCATTTTGTACTCCAATTGTCCAATGTATTCTTCATGACACATTAAAACATAAACAATAGATTTTGCAGAGCAATCCAGGTTAGAGCATACATGAAATAGCTGAAATGATATCATGACTGGTGTAAAACCCTTTCACTCATTGGGCGTTAACGTGACTTGTGTAAAGCCCTTTCACTCACTGGGTGATATCATAACTGGTGTAAAAAAAAATACTCACTGAGTGATATCATGACTGGTGTAAAACCTTTCACTCACTGAGTGATATCATAACTGGTGTTAAACCCTTTCACTCACTGAGTGATATCATGACTGGTGTAAAACAATTTACTCACTGAGTGATATCATGACTGATGTAAAACCTTTCACTCACTGAGTGATATGACTGGTGTTAAACCCTTTCACTCAGTGAGTGATATGACTGGTGTGAAAAACTTTTACTCACTGAGTGATATCATGACTGGTGTTAAACCCTTTGACGCACTGAGTGATATCATGACTGGTGTAAAAACAATTTACTCACTGAGTGATATCATGACTGATGTAAAACCTTTCACTCACTGAGCGATATGACTGGTGTTATACCATTTCACTCAGTGAGTGATATGACTGGTGTTAAAAACTTTCACTCACTGAGTGATATCATAACTGGTGTTAAACCCTTTCACTCACTGAGTGATATCATGACTAGTGTAAAAACATTTTACTCACTGAGTGATATCATGACTGATGTAAAACCTTTCGCTCACTGAGTGATACTATGACTGGTGTAAAACCCTTTCACTCACTGGGTGATATCATGACTGGATTAAAACCCTTTCACTCGGTGAGAGATAATATGACTGGTGTAAAACCCTTTCACTCACTGAGGGATATCATGACCTGTGTAAAACCCTTTCACTCACTGAGGGATATCATGACTTGTGTAAAATCCTTTCACTCACTTGGTGATATCATGACTTGTGTATAACCCTTTCACTCAGTGAGGGATATCAT